AATTCTGGAAAATTTCCACATATCATCTCTATCTTAATTGTCTCTTCTCTCCTCTGAGCATTCAGAGAACTGCATCTCTGCCTCCTAGCGCATCCTGATGTCTCGATGCCTCTGCACCTCTCTCCTATGTCGCACTTCTTTGCTCTTTCAGCTCCATTCTGCATCATTCCTTCATCTTTCTTTCAAATCACTAATTCTCCCTTCAGCTCTGTTCAACCCTCTGTTTGAAGCACTCATTGAGTCTGTGCTCTTATTAACAATCATATACGTGTTTAATTCCAGTCTGTATGATTCTTTTTCAAGTCTCCTTGACTGTTCTTCAGTCTTGATCCTTGGCTCATAATTGCAAACAATTTTCATTTCTTTAAATGTAGCACACATAGGTAGTTCATATTTTTTGAGAATGTGAATGTTTTTGGTATCCGATTCTGTCTTTTGTTTCTGTTGGTTCTCAATCATTGTGCCTTGAAGTTTTCTTATTTAACTGAAAGCTGCTCATTTTCTGAGGACTTTTATATATGAAAACTATGTATTTTGATTCTTTTTCAAATCAACTTGATTGCTCATCAGTCTTGAACCTTGGCTCACAATTTGAAACACTTTCAAATTCTTCACATGTAGAAGACACAGTTCTTTGAGAATTTAAATGGTTCTGTTATCGGATTCTGTTATTTCTGCTGGCTCTCACACATACATACCTGCATATATGTATGTTCATACATACATATATTTTTTAACGAGAGCTGCTAATTTTCTTGGGACTTTATATATGTGTAAATGCTGTAAAGTCAGAGTTCATGACATTCCCATCAACCTCAAACCACGTGAAGGTAATTTGTAGGCTTGAGATTCTCACACATCACAAACAGCTCTGACTCCGACTACAAACCTACGTGCAATATCAAGGGAGGTCTGACTCCCCTGCTCTGCCCACCACCAGAGCACAATGGGCACGCTTCCTTCCCCATCCCCTCTGGTGCAGAGTTTCTTGTTCCCCTGACAGTCAGCCTATAACTACCTGTAGCACCAGCATGACTTGCTGACCCCACCCTGGGCTGGACTGAGGCTGCATCTCCTGTCTCCTGTGCCCACGCAGCTGTCAACGTACAAGGTGGAGGTCTCCAAGCATCAGAAGACACCCTCACTAGCAAACGTCTCTCTTGGAGTTCCTGCTTCCAGCTTATTTTTCACCTCAAAGGCTTCTTTCTTTTCATGCGATCACAGCAAGATGTTCTAAAGGCTATTATGTTTCCTTTGGAGGCAGGAGCAGTTCAGGGCATCTAGTCTCCA